CCTAGAAAGGGGTGAGGAGGCCATTTTTTTTTTCTCCTGGGAATAATGTGATCTTTTGTCTTTTCCAAATGTTAAGTTTGTGTAGGCTTCTGTATGGGCAACCACTGGTGGTGTTAGGGTGGTGTTTGCAAAAAGACAAGGCATCAAATACTAAAGTGTATTCCTCACCATGCACAACTAACAATGTAGGACCTGTGGTCGTATTCCTGGCTCTACTACTGGCTGCTGTATGATACTGAGCAAGTTACCCCATGTCAGCATGGCTGTCTTCCTCCTTCTTGGGCCCTATTTGGTGATACACACCTGTAAACTTAAAATGTGGAGTGGAAACTTTCCTGAGTAGAAGCAGGGGAGATAAATAATTTCCCACTGGAGCTCACAGTTTATGCTGCATGATGGAGTAGCACCAGGGAGTGGGAGATAGATGGGTAGATAGATACAGAGCCATCTGGCAGCCACAGCCTGCTCCCTGTATTCCTCTCACTGCTTCCTTGGAAGTACTGCCTGAACCATATGACCTGGACCTGCAGGGTGCGAGACAAGGACAGTTACACTGCTAAACCACACAGAGATAAATATTCACCTGTCATCGTGGGCAGCTGAAAGCCTGATCCCAAAGAGCAGCTGTGAATAGGTGCAAAGTAGTATTTTCAAGTTTTTGCACAGATAAAGGACTAAAAACCCCTGAGTGTTTAATTTAAGACATCCACAGAAACAAAAAAGCACAAATATTCCTAGTCCTAAAGTCCTGCTCCTCCTGCCCATTGATGGTTGCTCTCTTCTGGGGGGAGCACCAATGCAGCATGTGCATGAAACAGGTCTGTTCTCACCGGCATAAGGCTTTGGGGTGTATCCCTGAGAGCTGCAGCCTGAGCACAAATTAGCTTCTGCCTGGGCTGTCACCAGGAGCAGGTGAGGACCACATCAGCAGTTCAGTTGATGCCAGTGGCATGCCAGCCTCAGTCATTGTGGTGCTCACTGCAGTTACCATTTTACCAATGTTCATAACTAAAATTCAGCTTGGAGTAAGTAAGGCCATATGATTTGTAAAAGGGAGAGATGCTATTTAGCCCTGTAAACATACATCCTGGTCATTTTTGATGCTGTATTACAGTAAGAAGTTATTTAGAAGATTGATTTCCTAACTGATAACTAACAGTGATACCTTTTGTGTGTGGTTACTCTTAATGTTTTCCCTTCCAGAACTACTAGTAATAAGAACTTTGTGAATATAAGAAATAAGAAAATGTAAGGCTGAAGACGTTATATCTTCTTTCCATCAACCCACTTTCTGTATAAAAGAGGTCAAATCACATTAGGTTTTTACCATTGAGATCCCAGGGCTTCCAACAGAGCCACATGAATCTGTTCAATAGATAATTAAACTGATACATGCTTATGCTAACGCACTAAAATCTGCAGTAATTTCACACACACACACACACTCTCCCCTTTGCCCCCATTAGTTTAGAGAAATTAGTTATCTGAGTATAAAAGTGCATGGTAAAAGCATGAATGGAAAATGGTTACTCTCTTAAACATTTTGTTGGACAGTGTGTTACACAAAATGAGAAATTGTTGCTTCAGAGTTACTGTCTTGCTGCACTTTGGTATTAAATGTATTCAAATTTTTACTAGCCAGTTCTTTGGTGCAATTTGTGTGCAGGCTGATAGAGTTTCCAAAAGTGTTGTGGGTTTGGATTTTTTTTAACTCTCCAGGGACTTTTTATGTGCAAGCCAAGTGCTTCTGTATGCATGATAGAGCAGTTTCATCACTCTGGAAAGTGCAACTAGATAGAAATACAATAGCTGAGCAAACACTGACTTCCTCAGCATTGTTATTTGTTCAAGTAAGGATACCGTAACAAAATCATACATGGGGTTAAGAGTGCTAACCTCTGTACTGATGAGATCTCGCTTGATAATTTTTGGTAGGTTTCCAAACAGAGGGCATAGTTTATTGAAAGTTGGTGCATAGTGTAGAGAGTGAGCTTATATATACTCCTGATCTGGAAAATCACTTAATTTAAACCTTCAATCTATTACTAATTATTTTCTAATTATTTAGGGCTTGTTCCCTGGCTAGAATAAATTGGTATGGGTTTGTTTTGGTTAAAGGACTCTTACTGATTCATGCTTTTGGAAAATGTGAAGCTTGATGGAGATGTTTTGGGGGACTTTTTGAAAGTTTAGCATTTAATCTTATTTTAATCGTTTAATGCAGAGCCTGGAGAGTAAAGGTGCATATATATATATATACATACATACATATATATGTGTGTGTGTGTATAAATACACACACTCTTACAAAGAGAAGAGTGTTATTATTCATACAGTGTACAATTATACAAAAGTCTATCATAAAAATTAAGAGCCCAAGCTACGCATGTACATGCTTATATGTAGGGACCATTTCAAGAGCAGATTTCTATCACAGACCAATTTTAAGGGGATTAATAATATGAATAATACATATCCAAGATACATAGCAGCAGTGTAGGTTTTGGAAATGGAGGAAACTGGCAAAATGTGGAGGCTGTGTTCACACTAAAAATGGACTAATTGGAGCAGATCTTCTAGGACTGCCACCAGCATAATGTCTGTTGGCTTTGGAAAAGGAATATTGATATAAAACAATGGAGCATCTAGTTCAATCCGTACAGCATACAGCTCTATTACCATTGCATTTAAGTAACAATTTTATACTAACGTTTTAAACTATCACTCCCTTCTTAAACAGTATGCTAATTTTCTTAAAGAGAAGTCTAATTGTTCTCTTCGTATGCAGCTCCAAGTCAAAAGCTTAATTTATCCCTCCAGTTGGATAATTAAATCGTACAATGTTCATCTCTTGTGAATTTTTCTGTCCCAGAAATCTTATACTCTTCTTCTCCAGCTGCCTTCCACAGAGCACAACTCCTGACAAAGCTTTCACCTTTAATTTACTCGTGCCAATAAGACAGCTGTTTGTCTCAATTCAGAAGCGAGGCTTCATTTTCCTTTCCTTGAGTTTCACTGCATATTTCTTTTTCTGAAAAAGAAACCCCATCTCTCCTACATATACCTTCTGCAGGCATTACAAAACAGCATATTTTTTGCTCTTCCCCATGACCTGATTTTGCAAACCTGCAAGTACTCCTGCTTGAATCAGCAGCCTGGGTTGCGTGGGTATGGTTTGCCGAATGGATTCACTTGAAAATCAAAATACGCAATTTGAGTTCCTGTGTCGTGCGGTATGAGTATTGCAGCATGTGGGCAATTAGAGCTACAGCTGCAAGGGTGAAGCTGCTGTACATTGAAGATGATGATACCCCACTGCAGGGAAGTCCTGCATAGCACCCCACAGGAGCAGGCTGCGTAGCTATAGGCTTGTATTGGAAAAGAAATTGAAGGTCTAGAAGAGTTCACGCTTGGAGAGGCATTTCTATTAGAATTCCTTCTAAGGTTCAACCTCCTTGCTTCGTTACTTTTCTTCAAAATAAGAAGTTTCTGAAAGTTCAGCTGTGGATCAAATAGGGCTGGAAGTGAGCAGTCCTGCTAAAGGCAGGAGAATAGTGCAGAATGAATGCCAGAAATGAAGACCTCCTAGTCAGCACTGCTCAAAGATTTTGCAGGATTGCATCTGGTAGGAGGGATCTCTGAAGGGCTTTCCTGTGGTGTGCTTGTGGGCTTGTCAGATATGGTACGGCAGTTAGTCTGCAAAGTAGCAACTGTGGTGTTGAAACACTGGTTCTGACTATTTCTTGAGTCTTAACAGTGGCTATACCTGCAACTGCATTAACTTTGCTTAGCCATTGTGCTCTCAATGCAACTGCTGTGTTGCTGCACATTGTGCCAAGGTTTTGTTGAAGCAAGAAAAGCTGACTCTAGGACTGGCTTTGTGCTTTGCTTTGTGTTAGGGTACTGGCTTGCTTCTGAGGTTTCACAGCGTAATGCATCTAGTAGCAATGCTGACTTTTCTTTACTGGAACTGCAGATCAGCATCTCATGCTCTCCCCATTGATTTTTAAAATGCATCACATTTTCCAGTACATTCATTCATGTGACTATTAAGCAGCATTTAATATTACTACACTGGTTCAGCAGGTGCTGAGATGCTGCTCACCCTCCTTCCCCATCTCCCCCAGCATCAACCCTGTAGGATCTTCTGTGTCTGCTGTCCCCCTCCCAGCTGACTGAGGATGATGCCTCAGGAATTCCTGGTGGAAAAGCTGAGATGCTCCTAGAATTTAAATTAAATGTGCTTTGTACCCAAATGTACACAAAGTGCCATATTTTGGGTCATGCAGCAGTGCGTGTCTTGCGGTGCAGTACCTTGTTGAAAAAAGACATCAGTGCTTCTGATGGCATTTGTAGCGTTGACTCTCACTGATAAAGCCATGCCCACTTTGGGCTTAAGTGGGACCTCAGAAGTGATCGAAATCTCACTCTCTCTGCAGCTGGCTGGAGAGCAGAGGTGGAAGGCGCAACTGCAGGTTTTTTTCCTTCCCTTTAATTGTTAAATAGGTCATATTTTAGGTTCAGGTCTTTTCTTGTGCAGAGATTGTGGGTCCTTCTGTGAGCAGGTTTGAGCGCAAATGAGCTGCTGCCTCTTTGCAGGAAGGTAGGCTCTTTTATGTCTTGCAGTCATGGCCCAGTACCTATGTAGGCATTCCTTAAGCATCACTAATGTTCTTTAAGTGCTGTTTTATTTACAACTTGCAGAAGAGTGATGCTTAAAGAATAGACTGTACTGAAAGAAGGAGCTGAATTGCCTGAACCAGTTTCCAGAACAGTGCAGTCCATGCTGTGAGTCAGTTTTAGTATCTGCAAGATTTTTTCTGTGTGCATGTTAGCCTTGAGACAGCAAGGAGCTACACAGGAGGCAGCACTGTGATACTGGAGAAGCGATTTTGTCGGAGGTCTTGAGTGCACCTTGAAAGGTCTGCTCCTGAGATTAGCCAGGTTGCTGTGGACAAAGAATCCCTTTGAACACTGACCTTTTGCTTTTCCCTTTTTAGTGATAAATTATTCAAGGGAGCAGAAAGTGACTCATTTTGTACACTGCCTATCAAAGAGAGCAGAGGAAGGAGAGTACAAGCAAGTGCCCAGGTGTAACTCAATGAATGCAAATGATTTATGGAGTAGCTGCTGTAATAATTTCCAATTACTTCCATCATCATCCAGTACCAACTATTTATGGGTATGAGCTTAAACACATTGCCTAGAAGACATGGGTGGCATTAAGCAGCTGTGTGACACTTACACACTCCAGCATCTCTTTGTGCCTCTGCTGAACAAGTATTTCCTAGTGATTTACACAAGGAAGACAAGCCCTGCCAGGCAACCCTTTCACTTCAGCTTGGCTTTTCTGCACTGCACCGAAACTAAGGAAGTAAAGTTAGGTACTTGGTGCATCCTGATCTCAGAAACACCTTGCCAGATACATAGGCGATTTTTCTTGTGGACTGGAAAGGAAAGTAGCTCACCTGATCTGGCTAGCTGCACATGAGCAGGGAAGATGTTTGATGTCCTTTCCCATAGCAGGGGTTTTGGAACTAGATGATCTTGAGGTCCTTTCCAACCCTAACTATTCTATGTGGCACTGGTTACGCAAGTGTGTGCCCTTCATGTCCAGCCAAGAAGCATTCCTTGTCTAGCTGAGGAGTGTCTGAGCACCTTTGTGAACCACATCCACAACACCCCATCGGTGCAGAACAGTGGTAATGAGCTGGCTCAGAGAGAGAGGAGGCAAACTTCCCTAGGCAGAAGACTGTTTTAGAGTAACTTTATGTAAAAGTGAGTATTTCATTCCTCCTAGGTGCCACAGATTTCATCTGGGGTTAATATAAATGAACAAACATGGATTAGAAATAACAACTTCAGACAGGAGTGAGTTTGTAAAAGGAGAAGGTTAGGTTGAGCTGACAGAGTTTGAAGTTACCAAGGTACACCCAAGCTAAAGGAATCAACCATCAAACTGCCAGTCAGCTCCACATTCTGTGCTATTTAAGTGGGGGCTTGGCAGGTAGTTTGTGAAGTTGAACAGACTGATGTTCAGTGGAGCTTTCATAGAGCTTCAGCATCACTAAGCAGCATGCTTCATGGTCCCAAGAGGCTTGAAGTATTTTTTCCTCCCTAGTATGCCCATACTAAGAGCAAACTTACTTAACAAGTGATAGCAATGGATCAGCTAAAGATAGGACCTTCAGGTGTGCCTTAAAGCATGTAACTGTTATTCTGCCTTTATGCCAGGATTCTTGTCCATTTTCAGCAGTGAGAGCTATTTCAGCACATCTTTCATATCTTCCCTGCAGCTTTTTACCTTTTTTTTTTTTCTATTAAACTGTGTCCTACGTCTGTTTAATGCACCAAAGAGCAAGCGTTACACTGATGGTATAGCTCCAATTCCTTAGTGGCGTCTTCAGGGAATTTAAAGTGATCAAATTCCCTTGTTAAGGAGGACACTGACTTGGAGATAACTCTTTTCTTCAAAATATAACCTAAATTTAAAAATAACCTTGCAACCCAGATAGTAATTATGTGCATTTAAAATGCAAGCTGCAACAGATGGTTGTACAAATCCATGCACAAGCAAATAGCCTTCAGAAGACCACTGTACTACCTTGTCTTCATGGACACTTAGGTCCTATATAGTAACCAATTTTATGAAATACAGTATGTCTGTTAACCAGCAGACTGAACTTTTAAGTTGCTAAGTAACTAATCCAATCCAAGGAGGAAATAAAAATAGCATACATAATTTTAGAACCTTTAGGACCTTTGCCAAGCAAAATATTCTCACTAGCAGCAGTCAGGTTTGTAATTTGAATGGGTTAGCTTAATAGAATAGATTCTATTTGTTTTATGTAGATAAATGTTCCTTGCTTTTCAAATCTGATTAATGACGTATCTGGCCCATTAGGTCATGTAGCTTCTGTACTCTTCCACAAGTTTATTTAACTAAAAATATAACATCACTAAATATAAGATAAATAAAAAAAGGAAAAATGTTTTAGTTGCCGGCTTCTTTTCAGCCTTAATCTGGTTAAAAAGCTTTAAGACTGCAGTATAACTCAGTAAATCACATTATATTACCAGGAGGAATGTCATAAGCATCTGCTTAATTCAAGTGTGCTTTTTCCCCTATACTTATCTGTAAACCTTGTTGAGATGAAAAAGGTATTACTTGAGAAGATATTATTCCCACCATTGATTGAAATTGCCATGTGGTACTATAGCACTGCTTTATACAAGGAAGGTAGGGACCTGATAAGTTTTGTTTCTCTAAAAATAATTCTTTCACTGACAAAATATGCCTCCTCTTTTAAAATGCATCTTCCAAAACATGCATTTGTCTGCATTCCTAGGGGCTTGCTCTGTTTATGAGCGTTGCCCATGCATTTGACAAGTTTCACACATAAGACTTCTGCAAATTACAGCAAGGAACTCAATTTTTTCCCCAGAATTATATCAGCATTGCCACTGGATGAAGGATTTGCAAGACTAAATCCTAACACATGTGAATAGCGTCACCAAAGTCAGCTCTCTGGCTCTTATTCCTGGATAGGGTAGGTGGTATAGGATCCAATATTCATGTAATGCATGTATTCTGAAGCGGTCACAGCACGTTGGGTTGTCAAAACAGATAGGGACTCCTTTCGCAAAACAATTGGAATACCAACTTCTGAGTACATTAATTCTGATTTAATTCCCTGCTACTCTGAGCCATGCGTTTGGAAAGGTCTCAGGTATTCCTAAATCTCTTCCAGTTCAGTTAAGTATTTTAATGCAGGGCGAAAAGCACTCAGATTCAGTTTTACATGGCTCGTACATTTAGCTTGAAGAAGAATACATTTTTTTAGATGCCGGGATTCAGCACATTTTTCCTTCCACTTTAGGATTATCATCCTGTAGGGCAGGAGGCTAAATATAACAAATACATGCCTTGCATGGTAGTTTCAGTACTTTTTGTTTAATGCTTCTTTTGATGGTGGAGTTTCAGGCTGCTATTCCTATTTTCAGCATTTTAATATATTAATAAAGCTAACAGGCTATTCTAAAGCAAATTAAGATTTTTCATCATTCTGTGCTGAAAGAGCAGCATGCCAAATCAAAGAGGAAGTTTCCACTGAACGTTGCCATAATCAGTTTACGTGCCTGAAACCAGGAGAGTTGTAGGTACATCCATGACTGTAAAATAGAGCTGGAGGGATGCAAGCCATCACATGGCCCACAGAGATGCCCACGGTGGAATTTCAGGGTGCAACAGCAAGAGACATGTCATGGTCCTCCGTGTTGGCATTTGGGCTGAAACAAGCAAGGAGGGGAGCTCTTGCATGGAGCCAGTGCACATTTTCTGCCTGGAGCTCCTGGTCTTTGCCCAACCTCAGTGGGCTGCCTGAATGTTTGTATTTTATTGAGGATTTAAATATGCAACTGCTGTGGTAAAATGCAACTTGATTTGCTACTGATTTTTCTTTTTTCCCCTAAAGAAGTTCAGAAAACATTGCGTTTATACAAGGATTTGTGGACAAAATGTATTATGCAGTTAATTGAAGTAAATTGCAGTTACAATGTAGCAAGTAATTACCACCTGTTTCACATCTGCCTCAAATCTGCTCAAAATACTGCAATCTAGTAATCATTCTTGTATTTTTATGTAGTTTTATTATTTGCATTTAGACTTCTGTTTACTTACCCAATTTACAACAATTTTTTCATGCCTTCTGTACACAGAATGGTGAATTTAGTAACTTCCTTTGGATTTGTTTATAGAACCTTTCAAAATGCATTTGCAGTGCATGACAGGGCTCCTGATACACTGCAGGCACTCAGTGGCCTTTTTCATCATGAACTGTGCGGTTGGGATAGTGCCACTTGCCACCCTCCGATCTCAGCGTCTCCATTTCACTTTCAAAAATAGCCCACATTAACCTGTCACGCACTTGGTTTCCCGAGATTCTTCAAAGTCATGTTTTGCTCTGTTAAGACATGAGCTTTTGGTTTGCTTGTTCAAAGCATCAGGATGCGTTGATGTTGGAATGGACAGTGAGGCAAATAAGGGATTTTAGCAAGAACAATCACCAGGTATAGTGGAAATGCAAAGGAAAGGAACAAAAGTCAAAGATACACTCCACTCCTCCAGGGTGTCTTTCTATAGCAACACTGTTCATTCATGGCTTGACTTCGCGAATGAAGATTTGGGAAGGGCTTTACCCATGCTTACTACAAGCGTGCTGATGACTAAAAAGGCCAATGTGAGATGAGCAAATCCAGTTGCAGAAAGCACAGTGAAAGGTCTCCTTGGGTGATATAGGCGGGGCGCAATTCTTTCTATGTCGTCTTTTCTCCTCGAGAGTTAATTCTGCGTGAGTTCTGGGTCTGAATCATGGGTTATCTACTGCCATCACCTGCGACTCCTCGAACACTTTCATCAGAGCTGCCTCCATACAATTCTAAATATCCATTGGACCGACTATGGCAACACCGCTAAATTCCCCTTAAACACACCCTTTAATTTCCCTTTAATTTTCCACTTTAGTTAGGAATTGTTTTTTCATACAGGCAACTCTATTCCATTTCTGTAGTGCCCTCTTCACATGAGGCTCTCTCACAGCAGGAATGGTATTCCCCTCCACTTAAGCATTTATGCTTGGTTGTGATGCAGTGCTTGTGCCCAGCATATGCAGACAAGGGAATGCATGTTTCTGTTCTAACATGCTTCTTCCGGAGGGGAGGACAGCAATGGGCTGGGATCTCCAAGTACTTGTTGAAGGTGGGGAAGAAAGCATACCTAATAAAAGTTAAGCTTAGAGGATTCCAGGGGTATGAGTCACAAACTCAGCAGCACTACTGCATGTCTTTATGATACCTCTCAATACTGCCTGTCAAAATCTCTCATTAAGGAGCATGGTGGATTAGTAATTATGCACATCTATTAGCTAAACATCCATTCTTTCTCTCAAAGCTTTGTGGCAATATCTCTCCAAAGAAGCACATATCTCATCTAGGTGTCTGCTAGATGGCCACAACACCTCCCCAAGGGAGATGCTTCTGATAACTCTGATAAGACAGGGCTTGGTTTTGTCTTTTAAACTGTTATCACACAAGCCAGTGCACAAGGAAAGACACCTATTATAATTTTGTAGATAAATGCTAACAAAAGCTGCCTGCATGCATGCACACACAGAAAAATTCAATGTTAACATTGCAGGGGGCTCTGATGATGACAGGAGTACTTTCATTGCCAGCTCTGCTGGAGAAGCAAAAAATAAAACCTTATTTGTGCAAATAACCTGAGCTTAGCTTCATTCACGGGATTCCTGTTTGCATATGTGAGTATGTTTTGTCAGCTCTGTCTTTAGATACACATCCTCATCTTCAGGTACTGGTTCTTGTTTGTGTTAAACAGATCAGTGCCATAATAATACACATTCCCACAGAGACATGAGTATTGTATAGTAAGAATCCCAAATACATGGTGGTCTTGGTTTTTTTGTTGTGGGTTGGTTGGTTGGTTGGCTTTTTCTCCCCCACCCCAAAAAAAAACCTGCTTCATTAAACTGTCTTATGCTTAGATTTCCTGATTATATTCTGTTCATTAATGAAGGACAAGTCTGAAAAAGAACTAAGAGCAAAACTGGAGGCAGAGGATAGTAAAATACATTGCTACTAATTAAGCTGAATTCCTCGAACATGCCCCCATCCAACTTGTTGTCTTCCAGATCCTAGATAACTTCATTCTTTCAGTGACTACTGCTAGACAGATGCATCCTGTTGTGATAAAGCAGACCAGCTGCATTTAGGACTATGGCTTCATATTTGCAGTATGACTGACCATATGTGATTCTCTGTCAGGTTTGCAGCTTTAATGGGAAATCTCTGAAGTACTTGCACTTTGATTCATCTTTTTCATTGGCTTGGTAACAAAAGAGGGTATGGCTTTATGCAGCTGGCTTGCACTGACATATGTTGCAGTATGGTCTCTGCAGAGGAAAGGGAAGCTCTTGCATACTTACCCTTAAGAGTTGCTTTGGGCTTGCTGTTGGGGTTTTGGGGTTGGTTTGGGTTTATTTGTTTGTTTTAGGAAAAAATAGCTGGAACCAGAAACTACATTTAATTAGGGATATAATTTTGAATTCTTATGCTGATCATGGTTTTTATCTGGCTTTAACAGAACTTAATAATTCTGTTAATTATTATTGTCTTCCTTCCTGCTTTGGGAAATGGGTGTCTGTGTAGGTCAGGGAACAGAAGGGAAAATACTTGTGAAAGAAACGTAACAAACAGCAGATAGAATCTGGAGGATCTGAGGTCTATTTTTTTTCCTAAGAAGGAGCACTATCAGACCCCAGTAGAGTTTTCTGGTATTTCTGATCTCAGTGTAATTTGAAAGTGTATAAAGGATGTGTTTTCCATCATTTTAACCATGTAAGGCTCAAACATGTCTAATTCCCTTTGCTAAAAAGATTGTATTTGTGTAGGTTCATAGACCTGAATTTCTCATTTATGTCTTTTGATGCATATGTGTTGTTTTCTTGCTCATATGGCAATGAATAGCTCATATCTCTGGCTGGAGGGAGAAATGGTACATTGTGGAAACCTTGCCCACTAAACTGTGCTGGTGCATCTCTGTTCTGACCTACAACATCCTTGGTGATCTCTGAGATCCTGTCCCAAATGCTGAATATCCTTCCCATCTACTGAAGGCTGTAGCAGTGTTCCCATAGGAGAGGCACTGAAGAAAATCTCCAGTTCCTACAGCTTTATTAGACCATTTGTTAGCCCTGCCATCATGTTACGTTGGCTTTCCCTATCCCCAGGCTATGACTTGGGTGTTAAAGGTATGGTGGACAAGAGTTGAAGGTACCTGAGGCATTTGGCTGAGGGCAGGAGGGAGGACCTAGCATTAATATTAGTTTTCAGTTTTGTTAAGGAAGAGCGATGAGAAGGATCAGTTCCATGATCAAGATTGGGCAAGTAATTGCAGCCTGGAGAATGGTTTGCATTTATTGGTCTTCCTGACTTGAGAGCAGTAAACATAGGAGCAAAGGACAGTGATGGTCACATGGATATGGAGGACATAGGAACAGGAAAATCCCCTTCCTTTTACATTCTATGCAAGTTTTACTCTGAATGTGCAGTGAGCATATTATCATTTTGAATGGGTTACTTCGTTCCATCTGCTCCTCTGAGGTCTGAGTTTCAGGTAGAAACGTCAAATGCTGAGGAAAATCTCATCTTCTGAGATTTGCAGCCTGCAAGCAATTGGCAAGACATCAAGTCAGCCAAGTGTCTTGAAGTCCCCTATTATATCTGTGGATAAAGAACTGGCTGGATGGCTGCATGCAAAGAGTTGTGGTCAATGACTCAGTGTCTGGCTGGAGACCAGTAACAAGTGGTCCTCAGGGATCTGTGTTGGACCGGTCTTGTTCAACATCTTTGTTGGTGACATGGACAGTGGGATTGAGTGCGGCCTAAGCAAGTTTGCCGATGACACCAAGCTGTGTGGTTCGGTTGATACGCTGGAGGGAAGGAATGCCATCCAGAGGGACCTTGACACACTTGTGAGGTGGGCTGATGCCAACCTCATGAAGTTTAACCATGCCAAGTGCAAGGTCCTACACCTGGGTCAGAGCAATCCCAGGCACAGCTACAGGTTGGGCAGAGAAGAGATTCAGAGCAGCCCTGTGGAGAAGGACTTGGGGGTGTTGGTTGATGAGAAAATGAACATGAGCCAGCTTCAGTGTGCGCTTGCAGCCCAGAAAGCCAACCGTATCCTGGGCTGCATCAAAAGGAACGTGACCAGCTGGTCGAAGGAGGTGATCCTGCCCCTTTACTCTGCTCTCATGAGACCTCACTTGGAGCATTGTGTGCAGTTCTGGTGTCCTCAACATAAAAAGGACATGGATCTGTTGGAACAAGTCCAGAGGAGGGCCATGAGGATGGTAAGGGGACTGGAGCACCTCCTGTATGAAGATAGGCTGAGAAAGTTGGGGCTTTTCAGCCTGGAGAAGGCTGCATGGAGACCTCATAGCAGCCTTCCAGTATCTGAAGGGGGCCTATAGGGATGCTGGGGAGGGACTCTTCATTAGGGACTGTAGTGACAGGACAAGAGGTAACGGGTTAAAACTTAGACAGGGGAAGTTTAGACTGGATATAAGGAAGAAATTCTTTCCTGTTAGGGTGGTGAGTAACTGGAATGGATTGCCCAAGGAAGCTGTGAATGCTCCATCCCTGGCAGTGTTCAAGGCCAGGTTGGACAAAGCCTTGGGTGATATGGTTTAGTGCGAGGTGTCCCTGCCCATGGCAGGGGGGTTGGAACTTGATGATCTTAAGGTCCTTTCCAACCCTAACTATTCTATGATTCTGTGAAACAGGTACAGAGAGAAAGCGTAGGTTAGCACTCAATACCCAGCCTTGAGCTTACAATTTGTCCTTTAGTTGAATACTTGCCACGCTTGTATTCAATATTGTCAGTGGCTCTTGACCAGACTGTATCTTCCCTGCACCTTATTAACACCAAACATTTGAACAGTGCCTTAAGTTTAGTGATCAATGCTTAAGAACAGCATCTTTTAAGAGAGAGAGCAACTCATACTATTTTTTTTTCACCCAGGACTGTCAAAGCCCAGAGACTGAGCAAATCAGGAAAAGCAAGGAATAGTTGCCTCCTCCATCAGTGAGCATGATGCTCAGTTGTGCTTGGATACAGAAAATGGGTTAGGTGGGATGCTTCTTACCGAATTGCTGCACCTTTATGCTTTTCATCCAGGATAAAGGACGGGCACAGAAGAAGCATCCAGGGTGGTGCAGGTGTCCTCTAAGCAATGAACAGGTAATCTGGTAATGGGCCATAGATTTCCCAGGTGAAAGCCAGCTCATTATGACATAGACGTATTTTCCTATAAAGTGTTTCTGAAACAGATGTGTTGGCATCCAATTCTTTATGAAGATCATATCTAGATATCTACATTAAGGCTGTATTATGGAAGTACACTGAAAGAAAATGGTACACTGAAGTATTTTGTGCATATTTGAGATCTTTTTTGAGGCAAAACTTTAATTTTTCTAGAGCTAAAAGATGCTTAAAATTGTCGTGGTTTAACCCCAACCAAGACAGCTTGTGCACTTACTCCCAGTGAGTGGTGCCAGGCTGGAAGCAGTCGAGGCCCACGGTAGTCCGTCCCCCCTCCCCTTCCCCAGGGGCTGCCCCCCCCTTTCCCCGCTCCCAGAGGGATGGGAGGAGAATCGAAGGAATGCAACTCCCACGGGCTGAGATAAGAACAGTTTAGCAACTAATGTACAATACGAATCACCACCGCTACCACCAACGACAACAATGATAAGAAAAAAATAGCAAAGGAAAGGAGTACAATACCACGCGCCGACCGACCCGGCCGACCCCCTGTCCTTCCGGGTACCTCCCAGTTCCCCCCTGGGCATGACGTGCTGTGGTATGGAATACATCTTTGGTCAGTTTGGGTCAGGTGTCCTGTCTCTGCTTCCTCCCGGCTTCCCCTCCTCCCTGGCAGAGCATGAGACTCACAAAGTCCTTGGCCAAACCAAAACATCATTTTTATCAGCTTTGTTCCCAGCCCGAAAGTCAAAACACAGCACTGCACCAGCTACCAAGAAGGAGAAAAAATGACTGCTGTTGCTAAACCCAGGACAAAAATAGAAAGGAATAGTACAAAATAAAAATGATCAGATTCTGTCCAAAAAGAGCCTGTAGTGAAGCAGAGCATTTGTCAAGGACCATGTTGTTATCTGCTCCAACAGCAGGATGCTGGTGGACAGGACACCTCCAGCTCTTCACAGGCCCTGCTGATGTGGCTGTAGTGTTAGCAGTCAGGTAGATAATACCGCTCCTGCATTTTATTTTAAAGTGGTCTTTTACTTGCACTGTTCTCTATTGTAAATTAGTTTCCTAAAATGGGGTGGGGGGTCCTCTCCTGAGACATGTACGCTCGCTTCAGTGCTACTGAATATTTGATCACTTAAGCATTAGACCCTAATCTCCAAGCCTGTAAAGCTGCTTGTGTGAAGTAACACCAATTGAGCTCTGTCATGAATGGCAGCAGCCTTGTCCTGCTGCTATTTAAATAATGGAAAAAAGGCCCTGACATATCTCAATATTACATTCAGCAAGCAAACCTTTCTGTTATTCCTTTAAATCAAGATGGACAGCAATATCCTAGACTAATACGGTGCCTATCAGAAGTGTAAGTTTCATCTAAACATGTCTCAGAGACTATTTATTTTTTCATTATAAAGAATACGCTGGCCCAGTGTAAATGTCAGTGAGCTCAATGTATTTTGTGCAATGAAATGGACAGATCTAAACCAACAGCAAGAGGCAGGCCTGGGTCCTAGGAATGCTGAAGAGTGAGTGCTTGCTTTCCGTTTTTAAGCACTCTGCTTTTAAGTCCATCTGCCCACTAGTTTCAGGCTTGATCAGCCTCAGAAGGGCATTAACTTTGCACACACCTGTTTTCTTCAGAGGGCAAGAAATAATTCTTCATGAAGTAGATGATCTAGTGGGCTGTGCTGTGGAGATCTGATTATTAACAAGTATTTCCTTAGTCTAGATTTTAAACATTCCTGTACACAGTCAGGAAAACATGAATGAGACATCGTTCATGAACAGATGCGTTGATGGAAAACAGTCTCCTGTGCGCAGTCAGGGAAATGTACAAACTGTGGTATTCGGTTTTCTTGTCTGCAATTGGTAACACTTAGCAAGAGATAGTCAAGCATCTGGAAGATTAATTTGAAGTGCATATGTATTGTTCAGGTGAAAACACCAGAAAAAAGTCTGAAAAATTCTTTTGAATTTCCACATGATGAAACAAAGTTCCTCAGGACATCTAAAAGCAATCCTGAAGTCCCCAGTGATAATGATCAACAGTGATTACAAGGTGATTTTCCCAACAGAGAAAAAAAAAAAGCATCTTGCTGTGCATATATAGCAACATAAGAGCCTTTATTAAGGGATCAGCTGATTATTATTCTGCTACTGGATTTTATTTTCTTCTTCTACTCCCCATCTTGCAGGAAGGCTCCATACAAATATAGCAATTGATTGTGAGATGTTACTCCTTTATGAGATTAATTACAAACATAGGGATGCTGTGACTAGCCCGTGTGTATGATTGATCTTGTAGGAGGAAATGCAATAGGAAATTGATGCTTCCTTTTATCCAGTAAGCAAAGTTCAGAGATGTTTATATTCTGCTGGGTAAGCACAGCTGTCTAAAGACATGAACACAAATGGACTGTCCTGTCAGCACAAATTCATGCCGAGGTAACAGGCTACGCCGTCTCTGTGGACCTCTCTCCGACCAGGAGGTTGTGGGGCCAGAATTGCTGATTTAGCAAATAGCTTAATTGTTTCAGATTTTAATTAGCGGGGAGACCCAGGCAGAGTTGATGCGCTGCAAGGGGCAGCAAGGGGAAGGTGTTTGTGAGCTACACTGGGTG